AATATTCTACAGAGACATAGGAAGCTCTATATTTTCATGTGATTATTGGATCATCATTTATTTTATAATTCCAATGTCTGTTTAAGGTGAAAGCAAATTGTGAATATGCTAAAAAACAATGTTGGACATTGTTAAAACAAAAACTTTGGACAAATTAAATTTAACAGGGGTTAATTGAGCAAAGAACAATTCAAGAATTGGGTATTCCCCAGAACCAGAATAGATTCAGGGGTACTCTGGGGAGGCCACAGGATCAGATAAAGTTAGTGGAAAGAAAAGGGAAAGTGACGTACAGAAAATAGAAATGAGGTAGAGAAATAGCCGGATTGGTTATAGCGAGGCGTTTACCATATTTGAACATGGTTTGAACAGTTGGCCACCTCTGATTGGCTGAAACTCTGCTGCTGTGATTGATTGGCTGAGACTTGGCTACTGATTACAGGATTAGGTTACACTCTGTTTACATATCTAGTTAGGCTACAGGTTAGTATGTATGGAGAAACCCTTAGGCCAAACTTAAAATATGTAAAGAGGCAGCTTTAGGTTAATTTTAATTTAATGACATATATAGTTTTGGTATATGAACATAATTTAAATTCAATATTTCAATACCTATCTATGAGATAGGTATTACCTCTATTTTCTGATTAAGTAAATGTAATACCATGGTTAAATAACTAGCTCAAGATAACATAGAAATCCTAGTTTCTCTGACAGCGAAGCCCATAGACTTTCTGTTACATTGTGTTTCCACATTTCCTGTTCTAAAGTGACTAATTTCACCCAAATCTACTAGGGTTATTTTTAGTAATATTGAATAGCTTGTTCACCAAATGTAATGTAATGCTTAGATCAAACATCAAGGAGAATTTATAGTAAATATATAGACTGTGCCATGCCAGCCTAAGAGAGGCACTTACCACATATGTCAGCCTCTGAACATTGCCCAAAGAGAAAGTATATCTTATTCTGACATCGATGTGCATAATAATAATAGGGCTAAAAATAAGAGTTGTCGGGGGTCTCCTGAATTGATGGGGAATTAATTCACTTTCTGTTCTGAAGTAATAGGCACTCGTTTCTCTTAATAATGACTCTTCAGAATTCATTAAACTAACAAGTCCATAATGATTGACAGACAGTGTTGACTACTGAACACAGCAATCTTTGTACTACCGTTTCATTTGTTCTCCTGTTTTGTTCTCATATCTTTGCCTCAGTGCAAGTTCTATTTCAATATGTCTGTCTTTTGAAGAGAACAAAGAATATTTTTACGACCTATATTCTTTCTCCACAAAGAAAAAGTTTAGAGCAGAAACACTAGCAATATTTTCAATATTTTATTAAATATTTGTATTTTTCCCTTTGATTATAGGTTCAGCATTTAGAACCTATATTCAGAGTCAAATGATGAATTGGCTGTGACATATTTGGTCCACAAATGTCAGTACGGATGTGTTGGTGGATACATTTCCATGTTATTAATTGTGCACTGATTTAGCTTTGGTAGCTGATATTTCAGTTAGCAGGAAAAGAATAGATCAGCTCAGTTCTAACCTAACAGACACAATCTCATTTCCTTCAACATTGGGATAAGACTCATTAATTTTAATAAAAACCCTTTTGTTCACTTCATGAAATGTTTCTAGTTTCTGTCATTTTTTGAATCCATTTAGATTTGTGATCTTAGGCTTCTTACCTCTGATAATTCATACAAGAACATCTTTCTTACCAGTATCTTTGTTTCATCATTAATGAATAACATCAAATCTGAGAAACATGCATTTACTATGTGTTCGAACATCTATTTGAAAATCTCATCTTTTAAAGCCAAAGGTGGAATATTTTTGCACATCTCGGTCCTCTAGAGGCTCTGTTCTATGTTTCCAGTATGCTGACAAGGGAACATTCTGCCAAGCAAACTTAATTTCCTTTCTTCCAAAATAACTCTAAATGTTTGCATTATCCTTTTCACATTTTCATACTGAGTCACTCCAGAGAAAAGGGATAAAGGGTTAAGGACACTGCTCAATATTATGCCTTATTACAAAAACTTTTTACTATAATGTTTATATTGTTGAAATAATTGTTGTAATATAACTGCATTTAGAGTAGCATAATGATCATAATTCATATTACCTGCATTCAAATCTTAGCTTTGCCACTTAGAGCTGTGTAACTTTGGGCGAGTTAATGAATCCTTCTGTGTCTCAGTATTCTCATGCATAATGCAGATGTTAATTGCATTGTCTCTGTTGTGGGGATGGAATGTGTTAACAGATTTGAAGAGGTACAGAGCTTAGAAGACTCTCTGGCACATATTTAGAGTTCAAGAAATAGTAGTCATTTTTATTATTGTTGTTGATGTTGCTGATCTTGTTTTATTTGGGCACTAAATATCCACATACCATGGGTTGATAAGAGGAAATCCTTAAAAGTGTATAGAAATCCATTTGAGTCATCTATAAAAAAATATTCCTCATTTTAACATAGAGTTGAAGCAGATCTTTGCAGATGTTTCTTTTCCACTCATAAATTTTCCAGTGGTAACATAATGCCCATCTTTTTTCTACATATTCCTTTATGCAACTTGAATGTGCACACGAAAGTATTGGAGCCTCAAGATTTTACTATGTGCATTTCAACAATCTCAAGTATACCTGAGAAAAAATTTCAAAATTATATTTTGGCAAATTTCATGATCCTCATTTCATCCAGGACTTCAGGGTCTTGCAGAAGGAAGTTTTTCTTCTAGTGATAGAGTATTCTTTCTCCTTGACAAGTTGCGAAAAAAAAAAATATATATATATATATGTGTGTGTGTGTGTGTCTGTGTGTATATATATATATATATACACGTGTGTGTTTCATATTGTCTATAATTTTCAATATTTTCTAATTTCGAATTTTTGTGATATTTAGTACTTGCAAAAAGCCACATGTATATTTAAGTAGCTTTCTCTATAGTATTCAGTTGTAATGCCAGAAAAAGAGACACATTGTTTAATGTGGCTCATTTGGGGAAGAGTGATACCAACTGGTGGACATTTCAATATTGTCTTTTTGACAACAAAATAAAGTATGAAGTGATATACGCTTTGAGGTTTTCAGATATTTACTAAAAATGTGCAGAGGAAGTAAGAGCAGGAGCATATAACTTCTAAACTTCAGTTTCTTTTCTCTTTTTATATTCAAAATTCCCTTTTATACCCAAATATATAGAAAACTACTTGAATATATTTTGTTTTCCTTCCCGTCAAAAGATTTTTGTGATATCCTTTGAGACAACAAACTAATCTTCTTGTTACTTAACCATTGTTGAAAAATCACTAGGCTACAGAGATTTAGCTAAAAGGAATAAAATTGAAGTGTTTTTGTTTGTTTGTTTTTCTAAGACAGACTCTCACTCTGTTGCCCCAGGTAGAGTGCAGTGGCATCAATTATCATAGCTCACTGTAACCTCAACCTCCTGGGCTCAAGCAATCCTTCTCCTTCAGCCTCCCAAGTAGCTGGGGCTACATGCAGGTGCATGCCACCACATCACGCTAATTTTTATATTTTTCGTAGAGATAGGGTCTAACTCTTGCTCAAGCTGATCTTGAACTCCTGAGCTCAAGTGATTCTCCCTCTTTGGCCTCCTAGAGTCCTAGGTTTGAGCCACTGTGCCATGCCAAAAGTTCTTATTTTTAAAACCCCCAAATCAAGAACACCTCCCCGTTTGTTCTAAGGAACAACTTTTAGAATTGGGGCAAAATTCTAGCTGTTTTTTAAATTAGTCTTAAAAATGATGAGGGTACTAACTGTAATTTGTTACAAAGAGTCTGCTCTGTATCTTTCAAATAAAAGCTATTCAGATTCTAGGATTCTGAATGTTCTTCCTATGTGCTTCCATATCACACTTGGTTGTGTTTATTAATTATCTCATTATATAGTAATTATTTGTTTGTATACCTTATTGTTTTCACCTATGAAACTCTAGTACATTGCCCAGTAGTTGCTTAATAAATATTTCTTGAATAAATGAAATATTGTCCTTAGAATCAATAATACTATTTTACAATATGCCATTACTGATTTTTTATACTTATATCATGCTAGTCTAGACTATTTGAATACTTCTCATTTATAGGCAAGATTATTAGAGTACTTTTAAACATACTTTATAATCACCTGTATTTAGAAGTACTTTTTCTGTCATTCTATTGTCCCACCTCATTACCATTTAAAAGCTAGAGTGAAGAAAATAAAATGGCACTCAGATGTCCTGACATAGCCAGATACAGAGGATGAATACATTCAAAGCCAAAGGTGATTTGATACAATTACATAAGTAAATATTAATTTCCAGATAAATGTATGTTATAGAGAAGCAATGAAATCCAAGAGGTTGGTTCCACAGGTAGAAAAGAACAATAGGTTATCAATAAGATTTTAAGTGAACAAGTTCTCCTCCCAATTTGACAGTGATCTAGGAATATAATTTCAGTAGAAGTGCTGGCAAGATTGGACCAGTTACGTTAAAAATTACACAGAAACTCTTCCATCAACTTAATGCTTCCCATCAGTGCTTATATTTTCACACATATAATAATATTTTTAAAGTAATTGAAGTTTGGATAATTTTTTCAGTAGGTTATTTCTTTGATTGTTCTTGTCTTAAACTATGTGTTATAAGTTATGGTTATACAAACCTCACATCTACTATCCAAATAGGTAGTGCTGAAGAATTTAACTTACTGAGTAAGAATTTTACTTACTCTGAATAAGAACACATTCTAACACATCCAAAAGTAGCCATTTCTATATATAAAAGTACTCACTTATAGCAAATATGTTTAAATTCATAGAGAAGTTGGTGTGTGTGTGTTTGTGCATGCGTACAAATCTATTTCTATTTAGAAATGGGAAAGATGAAGGAGAAGTGTTTGAGGACAGTTGCTTTATTCCTGAGGAAATAGTGATGATGTCTTTATATCTTCCTCTTTTCCCATGTTCTGTAGGATAAACCATATATCTCAACTATAATACTTGAAATCTGAAAACTTTGCAAGTAGATAAGAGATAAGATACACTCTTTGTTAAATATGCATGCAAAGATTTTATGTCTTTGAAATGGTATGCCTTCTAAGTTGAGGTGTTGTATAAAGAAGGAAAACTATTTTAAAATGGTTCTTTTGAATGATTTCCAGAGCCCACTTGTTAGTCATTTCAAATTTTAAATTTAGTAAGCAAAAGTAAACAGGAATTAATAACTGCAAACTCTTTTCTGTCATCACTACTTAATAGGTGCTGTCCTAAGCATTTTGCATAAATTTTCTCATTAACAAACCTAGGAATAGACACTATTATCCTTCACATTTTAAGAATGTAAGATTAAAAAACTCAAGTAAGTTGCCCAAGGTCACATAGCTAATAAGAGTTGAGCCAGGATTCAAACTTGGGAGGTCAGACTTCAGAGGTCATAAAATTCTGTGTGTAATTTTTAAAAAAGAGAAAGCTAGGAGGTACCTTGAGATAAATTATAGAGTTCCCAGGTTTCTCATGCCTCAAAAATATAATTAAGGGCTTTAGCAGATATGACTGCAATACTCAACTTAGGGAATATTGAACAATCATCACTAGGTGACAAGGGCTTTTTTGCATGAAGGTTATTGAGTTTATGAGTAAAAATCTCTGAGGCTTTGAGAGACTGAGCTGACACTTTTTATATAATTTTAGCAGTCACTTTAGTAACTTCTTACTAATTGGCCAGATAAAAGGAGATAGAAAAGACTAAGGTGGGTTGTGTTCAACTTCCTAAGTAATGGAATAAGTCTTACCGGCATGTATATGAAGTGCAGCTTGTCTGCTAGTAGTTTGGTTGCTATTGTAAAAGAGTGATAGAGAGATGGCATACAAAGAGTAGAAGGAAGCCACATGAATACCAACACTTGCAGAGCTCTCCAATTGATTGTCATTAGACATTTGTCATTCAGAGAGAGAACCAATGTCTTTGAGAGAAAGAATGCTGTCTGACTTCAGAAGAGTATATTTTAAGGTAATGCCAATTTCTATGAGAGCAGTGGGGGAGCCTGGCGACCCTGAAAAGGTTACTGATACCTATGAAGTCACGACTGAGAACCTCAAAATGAAGTGGTATGAGAGTCTCGGGTACATTTCAGATAACTGTCTATGCTTGAAAGCATCACAAAATCAGTTGTACCTGAAGTCACATTTGTCAAGCAAGACTTATTTTGAGTCTCAGATCATGTAAATCAAAAGATGTATTCTATGTGTCAGAGAAGGCCAAAATTCCTAGCTTAAAAGTCCACCTAGGGCAGCAGTTTTTAATGGGGGACGATTATATCCCTGAAAGGCATTTGTCAATGTCTGGAGACACTTGATTGTCACAGTGGAGGGAGATGCTAGTGGCATCTAGTGGAGAGAGAACAGAGATGCTGCAAACATCCGACAATGCACAGGACAGCTCCTGGCCATAAAGAATTATCTGGGCCAAAATGCCAACAGTGTCAAAAGGTGAAAACCTCTGTTCTAAGAATAGAGACTTATTTGGAACAATTTCATCCATGAAGCCTTGACGCCTGGAAGGAACCATTTATTGAGAAGGCACAGTAACTATTGGGCTTATGAAAGCTTGTGCTTCTGGATTTTATGACTACACAAGTCTATTTATTGCTAAGAGAAATGATCAGGGAGATTTGGTTCATTGGAAATTCTAGCTAGGTTAATTGAACGTTGGAGTTTTTATGAGAGCTGAGTACCAAGAATAATCAAAATTCTGAAACTTAGTATCAATCACTTTATAAAAATAAAATAGTAACTGTAAGCATATAAATGTCATGTAAATTATTCAAAATTAGAATAATATAAATGTGGTTCTCTCAAAAATGCATTTTCAATACTCATGAGGTATAAGGTAAATGGCAGAGAGAATGTCAAATAGAGATGTTTTCTTTAAATATTATTTCTTCACATGTGATATAATTAAAATTTAAATATCAAAAATTTCAGTGAATTGCATTATCACAAGGCATTATTGCTTTCTTCTCTCAAAACTGCAATAGGATGTAATGATAATAATGTTTTTTCCCAAAGTTCTGAAATAAAATCATATGATTTTCCCCAAATTAAAGAATGCTGACCAAAATGCCTCTAGTGTTTTAATAAAAAATAATTCCCCTTATTATTTATAGAACGTACATTGAATTTATTTTTAAACTTGGTGGTAATCATACCAAAACTCTAACTCTGATTGATATAGTTGATTTCCTAGTCAAATGCCAAACTTTCTTTTTTCTGAGATTTAAGCCTTAAGAAGCATTATTAAGCATCTTTTAATAAATGCATGGCAATTTAGTACTGTTTGTAGTAGAATACATTTGAAAGTGAAAAGAATCTATATTAAGTGTTCTGAATTTGGGGTCTAAAGATGGGCTTTGGGGGTCTCTGACTCCTCTAAAATTAAATGAAAAATTATGTATCTGAATGCACTTGCCCTTTCCCACTCCATATGGAAACATTTCATAGTTTTCAAAGGATTATGACAGATATTTAAACCACTGCCCTGGAGGAAGGTTAGAAAGGGCTTAGATCAGTCAGAAAAGTCTTGTTCTCTTTATTTTCTATCTGGAAATATAAAATTTAAACTGTCATATTTCCTATTGGGGCAGAGAACAAGAAAAGTAAAAATATTTTGTCATTATATGCTCATAAGGAATATTCATCTTTCTAAAACCTCAAATTTTCACAGTGTTCAGGATTTGTTTTTTAAAGCCAAACCAACAAAAACTGTGATCTTAAAATATTTCTAGTTACTGCTGCCAAAGAATTGAGGATAAAGACACACACACACACACACACACACACTAACCAAAGTTTAATAATTCTACATGCAAATGAATGAAATCGGACCTCTCTTATACCATACAAAAATCAACTCAAAGTAGATTAAACATAAGACCCAAAACTATAAACCTCCTAGAAGAAAACACAAAGGAAAATGTTCATGACATTGATCTTGGCAATGATTTCATGGGTATAACACCAAACTCACAGGCAACAAAACCAAAAATAGGCAGATGGGACCACATTAAACTAAAATGCTTCTTCAAATCAAAGAAAACAATCAGTAGAATGAAAAAGCAACCTATAGAATGGGAGAAAATATTTGCAAACCATGTATATAATAAGGGATTAATTTCTAAATTATATAACTAAAACTCAACAGCAAAAACAAAACAAAACAAAACAAAAGCAGCAACAACAAAATAACCTGATTTTTAAAAGGGCAAAGGACTTGGATAGATATTTCCCCAAAGAAAACATATAAATTGCCTACTGGTATATGAAAAAGTGTTCAACATCACTAATCAACAGGGATATTCAAATTAAAACCACAATGGGGTATCACCTCACACCTATTAGGATGGCTGTTGTCAACAAAGCAAAACAAAACACAAATACAAGTATTAATTAAGTTGTGGAGAAATTGGACAATCCCACATTTTTATTGCAGATGTAAAATGATGTAGCCATTATATAAACCACTATGAAGGTTCCTCAAAAAAAAATATAGGATTACTATATGATTTAGCAAATTCACTTCTGGGTATATATCTAAAAGAATTAAAATTAGTATCTTAAAGAGCTATCTGCACTCCCATGTTCATTGTAGCATTATTCACAGTTGCCAAGAGATATGGAAACAACCCAAATATTCATTGACAGATGAATAGATAAAGAAAATATGGTATATCCATACACTGGATATACCATACATGGATATACCACGGATAATATGGTATTATCCATACCATAATATTATTCAGCCTTAAAAAGAAGAAAATTCTACCATTTGCAGCAGCATAGATAGATCTGGAGGACATTACGCTAAGTGAAATAAGTCAGTCACAAAAGGGCAAATACTGCATGATTTCATTTGCATGTCAAACTTACATGTTTATAGTTAAATTTACAGAAGAAAATAGAATAGTGGTTGCCAGGAGACAGGGGGAACGGGTATGGAAATTTGTTGTTCGTGGGTATAAAGTTACAGTTAACCAAGATAAATAATTTCTAGAGATCTGCTGTACAGCATAGTGCCTATAGTTAAACATACGTATCATACACTTAAAAAAGAAAAGAAAGTACCTAGGAATATATTTAACTAAGAAGGTAAAAGACCTCTACAGGGAGAACTATGAAATTCCGAAGAAGGAAATAGCAGAGGATGTAAGTAGGTGGAAGACCATGCCATCCCCGTGGGTCACCAGAATCAACATTGTTAAAATGTCTATACTACCCAAAGTAACCTACAGAGTCAATGGCAATCCCTATTAAATCCATCATCATTTTTCATAGATATAGAAAAATAGTTTTACACTTCCTATGGAACCAGAGAAGACCCCATATAGCAAAAGCAATCCTAGGCAATAAACACAAAATGGAAGGTATCAATTTACCAGACTTAAACTATACTACAAGGCTATAGTAATTTAAATAGCTTTTTACTGGCACAAGAACAGAGACATTGACCAGTGGAACAGAACAGAGAACCCAGATATAAAACCATCCTCATATAGCCAACTAATCTTTGACAAAGCAGACAAAAACATACACTTGGGAAAAGAATTTTTATTCAATAAATGGTGCTGGGAAAATTGGATAGCCCACATGTAGAAGACTGAAGCAGGACCTACACCTTTCACTTCTCACAAAAATCAACTCATGCTGGGAAACAGACTTGTACCATAGGTGTGAAACTACTAGAATTCAAGAAGAAAACATTGGAAATACTCTTCTAGACATTGGCCTAGGCAAAGAATTAATAAAGAAGACCCCAAAGGCAATCACAGCAGCAACAAAAATAAACAAAAGGGACCTGATCAAATTAAAAAGCTTCTGTACATCCAATGAAACTGTTAAGAGAGCAAACAGACAACCCACAGAATGGGAGAAAATTTTCACAAGCTACATATCCGATAAGGGCCAATAACAAGATCTATTAGAACTCGGGAAAATCGCAAGAAAAATCAAACAACCCTATCAAAAATGGGCAAAGGAAAAGAACAGAAATTTTTCAAAAGAAGAAGTATGAATGGCCAACAAACATATGAAAAAATGCTCAACATTTCTAATCATTCAGGGATAATGCAAAATCATACTGCATTGAGATATCACTTATCTCCAGTAAGATGGCCTTTATAAAAAAGTCCAAACAATAAATGTTGGTGTGGATGTGAGAGATAAGAACACTCCTACATCTTGTTGTGGACTGCAAACTATTTCAACCTCTGTGGAAAGCAAATGAGATACCCTAAAGAGATACAAGCAAATCTATCATTTGACTCCAGCAATCCACTACTGGCACCTACACAAAAGATCAAGTGACACTCTAAAAAAAAAAACACAAAAAACAACACTGCACTCAAATGTTTATAGAATTCAGTTCACAATTCCAAAGTCGTGAAAACAACCCAAAATGCTCATCAATACATGAGTGGATTAATAAAATATGGTATATGTATACCATAGAGTACTATTCAGCTTTAAGAAACAATGGTGATATAGCACCTCGCGTATATTCCTGGATACAGCTGGAACCCATTCTACTAAGTGAAGTATCCCAAGAATGGAAAAACAAGCACCACATGTACTTACCAGCAATTGTTATTAACTGATCAACACCTAAGTGGGCATATAGGAATAACATTTATCAGGTGTTGGGCAGGTGGGAGGGCGGAGGAGGGGATGGCTATATACAACCATAATGAGTGAGATGTGCACCGTCTGGGGGATGGTCACGCTTGCTGCTCTGACTTGAGGGGGGAGGGGTGGAATGGGTAATATACGTAATCTTAACATTCATACCCCCATAATATGCTGAAATTAAAAAAAGGAAACAAATCGTTAAGGGGGTTGATCTTATGTTAAGTATTCTTACCACTATGCATGCACACACACGTATGCACACACAAAGAAAAAGGACTCGAGGAAATTTTTCGAAGTGATGGATGTGTTTATTATCTTGATTGTGATGATGATATCACACGTGTATGCATATGTCCAAACTCATCAACTTGTATACATTAAATACATGTTGTTATTTGAATGTAAGTTGTAACTCAGTAAAGCTATAAAAAATCCAATTTTAAAACCAAAGTAGTATAAAACAAACTTTTTAGGTACAAACCATGGCAATCCAAACACTGCAGTTGTAATCACTTGCAATTAATCTATTGTAGTTTCTATCTCTATAGAAAATAAATATATATTGATGTTATGATTTTTTGGTTTTTGTTTAATAATATTGGACTTATTTTTTTAAATCTTTCTCATAACACTCTGGATTTCTATTGTGTTAATTATGTCATTCTGTGTTACATTATGCTTAGTTGCAACCATATCTCTTTATTTTATATGAGATTAACCTCTGGAAGTCAGGTATGTTTTGTTGTTCAGATGTTTTCTATCAGAGAACTTTTCCAAATGAAAGTGCTCAAAACTGTTGAATTTGTATACTCTACTAGCACTTCAAATTTGATCAAAATCGTTCTTTGAAGAACAGCATAGAACAAAAAATAAAATTTGTTAGATATTAAAAAGGACTTACTTTGCTCACAGGGCAAATTCATATTCCAATTTGGAGAAATAATTCAGATTTTTAAATATGTGGTCTAGTAATGCACAGAAAGAAGATGTTGAATTTCAAATTAAGGACTCCTTCCATTTGGTTAGAGTTTAGCTCAAACAGGAAGATACATAGAAAAAGGAAACACTGTGACAAGTATCAGATTTAAAATGGCATCAATTACTTTGTTACTTAAAAAAATTTTTACTTCATATGATCCAGACTGGCTATATTTGGAAAAATGATGAATTCTATTCCATTTGCTTTTTTCTTGTCTCTGCTCTTCTCTTCACAGTGATAATTGTGGGCTGCAAACACAAGAGTCAAAATATGCAGATATTGCAGACCAGTGAGTAAATTAAGGATATGCCCACTGAGACAATCTTGCTTTCATATAACATGCATTTTTTATTATAATGTGTAAAATTGAGACTGCAAAACTGAAAACGAAATCTCAGTGTAAATTTATTTTCCTATGTGTAAACCTTTACTGGCAAAAACAAAGGTTCACCATTCAAAGCGTCGGTGAGCCAACTACAGATTTACAGAACATTCTCAACTTGACTACAGAGAACTAAATTAAAAACAAACTTGTATAATTCTTCAGTAACTATTCTACCGCTTTCCCAGATGCTGTAGCTTATTAACAGGTGTTACATTACCCTAGCCAGCTGTCAATACCTGCTATCACCACGGTGGATGAAAAATATATGTACAGAAATTCAACAAATATATTCCCCTGATATCCTTCTCCATTACATTTTCAAGTTAGATAATGTCAACTTTGCTTATCTATCATCTTCATTCTGATTCATTATTCAAAGCAAAGATGTTCAAAATTCATATTTTTAAAAAAGTTTATTTTTTCAATCTTTGTTATCGTTGATAAAAACTAACAAAATGCAGTTTAAGACAGAAATATGTTCATTGCTATGCAAACACAAACTTTTAGTAAGTTTTTCCACAAGTTAAATTATGGGAAAAAGTACCATGAAATTGCATTTATTTTCACAATGTGTTTTCCTCTTTTTAGTTACATGCTTCTATTTGATCCCTGTGTCCTTTAAAAGACCCCAAGTCAACTATACTTCTTGCTTTTCTCTTTTGTGAATTCTCTATACAGACTATCTTTGGCATAGATATACTAAGAAATAATTAAATTTAGAACTCTGATATATTCTTTGCTCCTCAAGTAAATCATGTATACCTTTCCAAATGCCTTACTTGACAGTTAATAAACATGTTTTTATTCCTACTCAGTTGATCAAATTTTCCCCCAACCATATCTTTAAATTCATGTCTCCCACCTGAATATACTTGAAAGTGATTCTTGGAAGTGGTGACTTCATATCAAAGTCAATTTCTTTACAAAAATTCTGGCCCATGAGAGTCAAGTTCTGTGTGACTGGTTACTCACACAGCACAGAGGTTCGACAATAAAACCTGAATAGAATACATCCCAGGGAACAACCTTCTTAACAAATAAGCTAGTCTACTTCCAAGGTCAAGTGTTTTTCAGAATCAGACCTTTTCTCTGAGGGGCTTTATTATATCAGACAGTTTCCAAGGGAATAAAAATAGTCTTTTAAGTATTTTGAGCTGTATCTAATTCTCTCTTCATCTGATAATCAGATATTAGAGATTTATGTAATCATATGTCTGGAAGGGATTTAAAACGACTTTTTCCTTTTTGTTGTATTTTTTCACAGGTGCTTGAAAAATAAGTAGTCTCTCAAATGATAATTTATGTCCTTTCTAGGTTAAAAAAAAAAGAGAAAAACCCATAATATATTCATATCCTTCCCAATACAAGGGGGTTTCAGGTTTTGAGATACAGTGTTTGAAATGAGAGAAAGTTTTTTAATCCTCCTCTTCCATTTTAGTCAGATAAAAAATGGCATCTTATATTAAATGATTGATTCAATTTTTTCTAGGCATAACTGCATAGCTTTAACTTCCTTCTTTTAATGAAGTAGCAAGGAGTTTAATAATATCTTATATATTGAAAAAAATTTTAAATAATTGTTTTACTTTTATTCTTTAAAAAGGCAATGTTAGGTAAATATTGTTAACCCCGTATATCTGGATATTAAGACCAAGATTTTTTTTTTATTTCAGCATATTATGAGGTACAAATTTTAAGGTTGTGTATAATGCCATTGCTCCCCCTCTCCCCCTAAGTCTGAGCTTCAAGCGTGGCCATCCCCCAGATGGTGCACATCTCACTCATTATGTATGTATATACCCACCCCAAGATATTGAAATAATTTGTCAAGGTCTCAAAGAAAACCACTATTGCAATAGGGTCTTTAAATATAGGTTAATTGCAATTATCTAATTGTTAAGCACACACTTGTGTCACCAATAGAACTCTATACCCTGGACTAGCAGAGATAGTACAGGAATAAAACTAAAGTTACATTGGCACTTTCAGACACTGGCTTGGAGAAAGTAACTGGTTATGGAGTTCCTAGTCATGGGATAAATGAGATGTAAATAATAATATTAAATATATTAGTTCTATTAGAAGCACCAAATCTGAGTATCATATTTTAGCTGTACTTTCTCCCAAGCTTTAATTTTCACCTTTTTCCTAATAATCAACATCTATTTATACTAAATAAACCTCACCATTTACATATTATTATCACTATATTTTCCTAGTTATCATTGTTAAGTGCTAAGGAAAAAGTACAAAAATTTTACTTGCTAACATAAAAATATTCTGCAATGATTTCTTAAATGAAAGGTTTCAAAATAGGATCATCATTTCAGCGAGTTAAAATCAGGCATGTATCAAGACAGAATATATAAACTGACATGTCTCAAAGGAAACTCACATAAATTTATCTGAAAAAAAGAACCTAAAAAATGAAGTATTGCTTATACGCTATATACATATTAAATGTTACTACAGGGGAAGGGTCTTTCATTAAACTATGACTCTTTTGAGTATTATCTTAATTTCTAACAATGTTTTTTCTATATGTATTAAGCGTGATATATACTAATTAATTAAAAACATTTATAATTTTCCTAATAGCTATTTATTGGAAAAACAAGCACCACATATACTCACCAGCAAACTGGTATTAACTGAGCAGCACCTAAGTGGACACGTAAGTACTACAGTAATAGAGTATTGGGGAAGGGGGAGGGAGAGGGGGGCGGGTATATACATACATAATGAGTGACATGTGCACCATCTGAGGAATGGTCATGCTGGAAACTCAGACTTGTAGGGGGAGGGGGGAAAGGGCATTTATTGAAACCTTAAAATCTGTACCCCCATAATATGCCAAAATAAAAAAAATAATAATTGTACTATGAAACTCACTATATATATATCCTGTATATAGCTTCATATTTTTAAAGCAAGATAATAGATAATATTAAACAAAATAATTGTTTAAGCATTTATCTCATAGTCTTTTATATGCCTTATTATAAATATGATATACCCTGACATAGGCTATCAGTGGGGTATTCAAATGGAAAACGCACAACTTTTTTCAGACTGGAATGCCAAACAAAAGTACTTTTAAGACTTTAATGTCCTTATAAGAAGAAACATGAGATAGCTTGCTTCCTTTCTGTGTTCTTAACCATGTGAGGATACTTTGGGAAGATGGACAACTACAAACCAGGAAGAGGGCCTTCAGCAGGAATTCCATCGTGCTGGCCCCTGATCTAGAACTTCCAGCCTCCAGAACTGTGATAAATAAATGTTTGTTGTTTAATCCAAGAGAAAAAAACCACGCAAATAAATAAACAAAAAGATCAAAACCATTATTATATGAAATCCTTTGTTATGGATAAAATCATACTCAAAATTCAATACTCCCTGTCAAAAAAAGTCAGTGTTAGAGAGGGGAAAATTCGGGTGAGACCAGAATTTTTACCTCAGCGTTGTAAAGTTTCCAGTGCATAGGTAAAACCTCATAACTTGATAAAAGTACACTCACTTTTGCCCCAAAAATGAATTGAATAAAATATATTGTCAATATTTTATCACCTATATCAATAAAGGGGAACAAAGGATGGGATAGTTTAGAACCATAATTAATCCAAAATACATCACATTTAGTTTGCAATAAAATAGATTGCATTTTTTCCTTACCTTACTAATCTGTTTTATTAAAGTGAGATCTGAAACTAATTTACAGTATTTTGGCACATACGCTCTAAGGTGGCTCAACATGACCTAGGTGACAAGTTGTAAAGCATTTTTAGATCAAAATATTTTCCCCATTAATCTTTAAATTAGAAAAAAATATTTATTTACTAGCAATGGTATATTCAGATTCTGTAATACCTAATGTTTATACAACTTGGAGCCCTCTTTAAGTAAAAGAATACAAATTTATAAATATGAAATTAGGCACAAAAGTGAATCTTGACTGAAAGTGGTCACAATTGATTGCAGTCAAATACCCAACTGTTGCAAATTTCACAAAATCATGTCAACATGTTTCTAAAGCCCTTGGAAGAAACCAATGCAAATGAAGGGTCCTCAAACTTGAGCTTCAGTGGCTTTACTGTAAATCTTCCCAAATCTTCAGGCAATCTGAAGTGTACTTCTAGGCCTAAAGATACATGGAGATGACAATTTGTATGTTGTCCAGACAGATGTCATTGAGGAAGTCATGACACCATAGGGAATGACAGCAAGAAGGAGAGGTTGCCTTGGATGGGGCCTCTAGCAGGCACAGAAGCATTGGCTAGCAGCAAGTTATTCAAGGAGCAGTGGAGTTGAACATTGTAGGGGTGAGAGTATGGAGAATACAGCAGCAAGAAGGAATTTGTACTTGTGATCATTTTTTTTTTAATTTTCATTTTTGTTTTCCTTTTTTTTAAATTCAGGATATTATGGGGGTACAAACATTTTGATTACATGAAATGTGTTTGAGTCACTCAAGCCAGGGCTACAAGCATGTACTTTCCCTAGCACCTCGATTCCTGGATACAGCTGAACCCATTCTACTAAGTGAAGTATCCCAAGAAGGAAAAACAACAACCAATGTACTTACCAGCAAATGTTATAACTGATCACACCTAAGTGGGCATATAGGAATAACATTTATCAGTGTTGGGCAGGTGGGAGGGCGGAGGAGGGGATGGCTATATACAACCATAATGAGTGAGATGTGCACCGTCTGGGGATGGTCACGCTTGCTGCTCTGACTTGAGGGGGAGGTGAATGGGTAATATAACGTAATCTTAACATTCGTACCCCATAATATGCTGAAATTAAAAAAGGAAACAAATCGTTTAAGGGGGTTATCTTATGTTAAGTATTCTTACCACTATGCATGCACACACACGTATGCAACACAAAGAAAAAGACTC